GCATGTAGTTCGTTCTAAGCAACGAAACTTAAAGAAGATTAGGCCTTCGAGATAATATTGTGTTAGGACGAGATTCTATTAATTCCTAGAATTGTGGACATTCGTTCTATGTGCGCTGGGTAATACAAATCTGTGTTCTTCCGAATATGTTGTCTATATCTCTTCTTACTTCAAATAAAAAAAAAAAAGAAAATTGAGTACATAAGTACCCGCTAAATTATAATTTGCGTAACTAAGGAGGTTCGGCCCCTACCGGAAAAAAAAAAACAGAAAAAAAAAACGTACCACCACCCCGCCTATTTCTGCCGACCCACCTGATGGTGAGTGGTTACCGTCCCCCTTTGGACTTCAGCAATGCCAGGGGCAGAGCCAAGCCGCTGCCTACAGTAAAGTCGTCGTGGCCTAAAGGATATAGCGATGCACTGGTGTTCGAATCTTGCTGGCGGGTACCAATTTTTCTAATGAAATACGTACTCAACAAATGTTCACGATTGACTTCCACGGTGAAGGAATAACATCGTGCAATAAAAATCAAACCCGCAAAATTATAATTTGCGTAATTACTGGTGGTAGGACCTCTTGTGAGTCCGCACGAGTAGGTACCACCGCCTCGCCTATTTCTGCCGTGAAGCAGTTAATGCGTTTCGGTTTGAAGGGTGAGGCAGCCGTTGTGACTATACTGAGACATTAGAACTATATCTCAAGGTGTGTGGCGCATTTACATCGTAGATGTCTATGGGCTCCAGTAACCACTTAACACCAGGTGGGCTGTGAGCTCGTCCACACATCTAAACAATAAAAAAAAAAAAAAAAAATGAGACCATAGAACTCATGTCTCAAACTCTTTGGGGTTTCATTCTACGGGCTATGCGTGGTGAAAGAATCACTGAAAACGCATTGTGGATCAACACAGCTATCAATGCAGGCAGTACAAACAAACTGTATCTCGGCGTCGGGAGACAACCAGCTTCACAAGGTAAATGCTGCCGTCTACTTTAGGAAATAAGATCTATAATTGATTATCTCGTATTATGGCTGGTTCTCCGTTCAAAGCGAAATACATTTCCATCTGATAATAAACCGAGAAATGTTATTTCTTCTACTTTACTCATAAAATGAGCTGTTCATATGTAGAAGTTACAGGTCGCATGCATTACCTGTTCAAGCCCATTATAATTGAAATTAAATTTCAATAATTCCTATTTCTTGCACACGTTCGCTAAATGAAAAATAGCTCTGAGCACAAAATCAAGCGGATAGCGTAATTATTGACACTGCAATCTATATCTATATATTAATACGTGAAGCAAAAACTTTGTATCCCTTTTTACAAAAATTGCGCGGACGGATGAGTATGAAATTTCCCCCACTTATAGAGAATATAGAGAAGGAGTGCAGAATGTTAATATTTTTTTAAATTATGCCTTTTCAAAAATTTTCATTAAATCAATAAAAAAAAGATTACACACACTACCATGTATTTGTCGCACACACGCATGCATACTATTTATTTATTGTCAAACTTTTGTTCTTGATGTCTGTGGTCAAATTGAGAATAGATTAATTATTGTATTTACCTAAAGTGTAGTCTTGGCGAAATCTGTGATTATAGAAGTATAAAGTTCTTGAAAATAGAATCATAATAGTGTTCAAACTTAAAATACCAGTTAATTATAGTCGAATTTCGACTACTGCGGGACCACTAGTATCTGAAAAACTACGGAATCTTATCTTCAAATTTACCTTAAAAACAAACTCAAGCATATCTGTTGAATTCCGATCGATTGCTTCACGTTCTTCGTGTCCTTGTGTATCGAATTTCGAATACGGTAACTGTAATTAAACCGTAATTAGCTTCGAGTCTCCGAATTGATGTAGGCACAGTACAGTAGTAAAGCAAGCAGTAACATTCAGAAGATAGCTATTTGTTTGATAGCCTAGTCGACTTAGCTGGACGTGGATCAAATAATTCGTTATCAACTACTTTTAGATTATCTAACGCCTAATTTTTGAACAAAGTAAATAATTTCGAAAAAGAACTAAATTTAAATGGAAGCTCAATTTCGCCCCTCCTATTTAGCTTATTCTTCAACGATATTCCCCGGTCGCCGCCAACTCAGTTAGTTTTATTCGCCGACGACACGACTGTTTAATTTTCGAGTAGAAACAAGTCCCTAATCGCGAAGAAGCTTCAGAGCGCAGCCGTAGCCCTAGGACAGTGGTTCCGAAAATGACGCATAGACATCAACTGCTCTTGCGCTGTTAGGTCTCCTTTGGAGGCGCTCGGGCAGCTTTTAGCAAATCCCACCCCTTCTGGCTGAGCCTTTGCTCACCCACCTGTCCTGGTGAAACTAGAAAGGCCTCCGGGCCACCAGTAATCCTACAATCATAAAAAAAAACTCAATAATAATATTTTGGTAAATGAACCTAATCATGTCCTATTGTAATTTTTTAGTTCCTTAAATTTTTTGGTAGTTTGATAGCATATTTGTAAACATAGATAATAGTACCTTTTAACTAGAAACAATATTCACACCGATCAATCGCAATGTTTATCAAATAATTCGTTATCAATACTTTTAGATTAGCTAATGCCAGATTTCTGAACAAATGTCGGTCCCAGTTAACTCCTGCATTAGGTTATTTAAGTTCGACGTCAACCCGGTCAGCGGTGTATCGAGCTCCGACCCGGCAGGCTGGTTCTGTCCCAGTAGGTTATCCCGGAACACCAGCGGCATCGCCCGGGCGACCTGGTAGGGCCGCCGTACCGCGGAGACCGGCGTTGCTTGTCTCTAAGCCTGCTTTTAATGATAGATCTGAACTTATGTAATGCTAGAGTTAATGGATCTGATGGATCCATAAGAACGCGTCTAGGGCGTCTACGTCTTTTGATTTGATTTGATTTGATTTGATACGGTGATTGGCTCCTGCGTGAACTGAAATCGGCCTTGAATGATGTATTTAAAACAGGTGTGAGTAAGGTTTCATATAAAAACTCTTTTTTTTTTGTGTTGAAATACTACTGGTATCCCGGAGGCTTTTCCAGTTTCGCCAGGAAAAGTGGGCGAGCAAAGCCTCAGCCAGGAGGGGTGGGATTTGTTAACAGCTGCCCGAGCGCCGCCGAAGGAGACCTAACAATTCAAGAGTAGCTGCTTCGCGAATTAATCTACTACCGGACCGGAATCGCGACCCGCTGAGAAGATCCGGCGAGAAACTCAGCGAGCTGATGCATTCATGGATTAACACGTCGACCTCTTTGTCAAGTTCGATGAGTACGATACGGGGTCCCTAAGCCTGCTCCTAGTGTTAGAGCTAAAGGCGTCCATAAAAACTATTGTGCACTGAACTGTTATTCTTCCCAATCATATAATAACTAAAAAAAATTACTCTTTTATGTTCCCATAAAATACTGTCGAATTGCGAACGATGTTTTACGATTAAATTTTTATAACCCCAAATAGTTTCGGGCGATATTTGTTGGCCTTCGTTTATAGACATTGGGGTTTTAATCTTCGGTTACTCGCGATGCCTTTTATCAGAGGATCTGCAATGACCGAAATAGATATACGACAGTAACCTTGAAACGTGTCTTAATATGTCGTGTCTTATGATGTCGTCGTGGCCTAACGGATAAGACGTCCGGTGCATTCGTGTTGAGCGATGCACCGATGTTCGAATCTCAGGCGGGTACCAATTTTTCTAATGAAATACGTATTCAACAAATGTTCACGATTGACTTCCACGGTGAAGGAATAACATCGTGTAATAAATATGAAACCCGCAAAATTATAATTTGCGTAATTACTGGTGGTAGGACCTCTTGTGAGTCCGCGCGGGTGGGTACCACCGTCCTGCCTATTTTCTGCCGCGAAGCAGTAATGCGTTTCGGTTTGAAGGGTGGGGCAGCCGTTGTAACTTACTTGAGACCTTAGAACATATATCTCAAGGTGGGTGGCGCATTTACGTTGTGGATGTCTATGGGCTCCAGTAACCACTTAAAACCAGGTGGGCTGTGAGCACGTCCACCCATCTAAGCAATAAAAATAATAATAATAATAATATTTTCTTAGGTTAATGCTTCTTAGTCCAAGATTAGAGCTGTTCACAGCTGACCTTCTGTAAACGAAAGCATTAGTGTGTATTGCCTGTTTTACCCTATTAGCTGGAATGTATCGGCTCGGGTAGATACCACTATCCTGCCTATCACGGCAGAAATGAAGTAGAGATACCTGAGAACTCATTTCTCAAGGCGGGCGGCAGCATTTATGTTGTAGATATCTATGGGCTCCGGTAACCACTTAGCGTCAAGTAGGCCGCAAGCTTGTCGACCCATACAAGCAATTAAATAAAATTGGAAATAGCGCAATGTCACACATTCAGGTCATACGATAAAAATATGCCCTTTCGCTAATGATTACTCCAATCATTATGTTAATATTATGATGTTTATTTGAAATAAAATGGTGATCCGAGTATACATTTAAATTTCAAGAGACAAATGCTGATAACAGCGCTCTCTGTTGACATTACTATGAACCAATGAACCATAGTATTCCGCAGAAAAATGGACAACATTTTTGAATTCGTTCGGTACTCCGTTCATAGATGGCGCTTGTTTATTTAAAAAACGCGTTCAGTACTCCGTTCATAGATGGCGCTTGCTTATTTCAAAAACTTTAATGGTATATCAATAGCAAAGGAAGTTAACTACCTACGTATTAAAGTTTTATTCACGCATCTCTAATTCTTGAGAGCTTCTTGAGACTAATTATTAATATGATAGCACTTATGTCATTGTCTTACTGAACAAATCCAACATAGAATTAAAATGTGTGGTGTCGTGGGACACCGGATAGGAACGATTAAGTTCCTTATTATAAAAATATTAATTTTAAGGTCTATTCGAAGCATAAAGGAAATAATTATCCGGGTACACATGTTATATTATGATTTTTTTATTGATAAAAAAAAAACTGCTTTACAAAGTTATCAACTTCATTTTATTCACAATGATTTATAAAAAATAAATAACAATAATATACAAAGAAACAGCTATTTATATGAATAATAGTAATAATAACCGTCATCACGTAGACTATACGTTAGACACTGTATAGCCATCATACTAAGACTATACATAAATAATAAAAATCTTATGTTACGGACGTTTTTTCACGGTTAGGATACTCCTCCCTATCGTCCCATAAGGAACTTCGTTCCAATAAAAAAAAGCATACTCGAACTTCAAGAGTGGAATACAACAATTAAACATAAGGACCACGGAAACATATATTATGTACATAAAAGCCTTTTTTTTATATTATGATGTCAAAATAACAATAATATAAACACACTTAAAAAATAGAAAAAGTTGAACATTGAATCTTTTCCTTTTTTGAAGTCAATGAAAAAGCAATGAAATTGAGGAAAAAAAAACGGAGATTTTGAGAAATCCATATCCGACTTCTCTATATTTACATTTATTTGTCCCATTTAACGTTTTTTGCATAAAACATTTAAATTTAACACATGCTCACAGAAAAATTAACAATAAAAACTAGCTGTGAGATAATAATATATTATGACACAAATAATTTCAACTTAACTTTTAGTATTTGGTGTTTAGTATGGATCTTCTATCCTAGTTATTCTATAATATAAATTAATTAAATCGGCATATTTAGGCCTCAAACACATAAATATAACACGGACTAATACATAACGAAAACAATGACTGATTACATAGTAATAAACAGAAGGTACATATATTATTTTGCACAATGACATCATCGTTCAAGGTTCTCTCTCGCATGGCGTTGCGCGACGGAGTATATTAGAACGTGTTAGTACTGTCAGTCCAAATTAAAAAAAAACACGTGTGGCACTCGGGGACTGCTGCGGAAAATCTATTGCATAGCATTTTTTATCAACTTATGCAATTATAATTAGACAATAATAATTTAATATTAAAACAATAATAAAATAAGATCACGCTATATTTATAAACATTAACAAAAGCAAAACATTAAATTTTAATGTCCCCTTTACACTCATAAGCTATACCGCGCGAGAGAGAGATGGGCAGATTTTCATGATGCGCATGCAGTGCGACGTCACGCCGCGCGCTTATTCACAAACACTACACAAGCGTAACGTGTGGGTGTGTCGAACGCGAGCTACATGGTAGGCGGAGTGGGGGTGTTAGGTTTTATTTTCGTTACGGAATTTCTTGATTCGGCCGCCGCGCTCAAAGCTCGCGATAAAAGTTATGCAATAGCTTAACAATATTACTAAAGGGGATTGCCCACTCTCCATAGTGTGCTAGGCCCAAGGTGGACATTAAATATTACTATAAAAATGGACTGATTCAAATTCTTAAACGTATTAGATATCTAAAAAATATATTGAAATTGACGCCACTATTATAAAAAATATAATAAAAATAAAAAACTCGTTTTGAGGTTAATTTTCTATATAAATACCTCAAGAACTTTTCTTTTTTTAATGTTTAAGATGTTCCTAATGTATTTTTATCCAATTGTAGTTATTAGGGTATAAAAAACACACATACTTCTTTAAATATCTATATTATTCTATATTTTCTTCATCTTCATACACAATTAGTAAATCATCTAAAAATAGCACAGGAGAGCATATACACGGTTTTAAATCTCGGTCAGGTTAAAACCACAATTCACACAATGGTTTTCAGCCGTAGTATGAAACGTTATTGATAAAAGCAAAATAAATCGAAGAAAAATCAAAACACATCCATTTTGAACGCAAGCACAAGCAGCAAGCGAAGTGTCAGTCAGTCAGATTAAAATCAGTGTTGTCAGTATAAAGAAAAATAATTACATGAAATTCATATATCGATCATTTTTTTAAATAACCGATATTGGATTTATTTCTTACTCTTTTTTTACGAGTACACATTATATTTTATTTTTTATGTTTTTGTTTTAGTTGTAAATATTTAAATAACAATACAAGTTAAGTTTTTTTTTATTGTTTAGATGGGTGGACGATCTCACAGCCACCCTGGTGTTAAGTGGTTACTGGAGCCCACAAACATCCACAACGTCAATGCGCCACCCACCTTGAGATATAAGTTCTAAGGTCTCAAGTATAGTAACAAGTTAAAGTCCAATGGGTATGTCTTTGATGTTATTTTATGTCCTTAAAATCGATTAAAATCGATTGATTAATGATAATATTTAAAATGATTTATTTATATGTTTTTTTATGTACTTAAAATGTTTACTTAATACGTAAAAGGTTTTGAAGTTGGCAATATTTTTCCCGCAAAAAGAAAATTCTTGTTTTTTTCAATAGAGTTACTTTTTTTAAACTACTTATTGTAAACTGTAGTGGCGCTTATTTGGAAGAAAGTAAATGCATATTTATTTATGACAAAATTAATGCACTAAGTATTTTTTCTCTAATCTATTGTCCGCTTTGGGCCTGAAATGGGCCGTCCCCTTTAATTAAATAAAATATAAATTATTAAATTATACTTCGTATTCAATGAGGTATGTTCCAGGCAATCAAAGCTTAAGCTTTTAGTCGATTAATAAAAGCGACGCGCTGTTTTGTTACGTCATACGTTTTATAAGTCACTCATATGAAAATACATTGAGCAAGAACTTCCTGTATTGTTCACTGTCGATTGAATATACCACCCGAACGTTGGCTTCGTCTTTCGGTACGAATTCGTTTGTGTTGATACCCCTGTTTTTACCTGCGAGACGAAATTTAAAAATGAAAATTTGATTCTAAAAACACTGATTCTGATTCTGAATGTATGGTAATAGCAACACTCGAAATTTTGTTACAATTTTTTTTTTTTATTGCTTAGATGTGTGGACGATCTCACAGCCCACCTGATGTTAAGTGGTCACTGGAGCCCATAGACATCTACAACGTAAATGCGCCACCCACCTCGAGATATAAGTTCTAAGGTCTCAGTATAGTTACAACGGCTACCCCACCCTTCGAACCGAAACGCATTACTGCTTCACGGCGGAAAAAGGCGGGGTGGTGGTACCTACCCGTGCGGACTCCCAAGAGGTCCCACCACCAGTGATAACCATAACCACCAGTCCTACCACCAATGAATAAGTGATTAACAACAGTAATTCAATTAAACATTTTTGCAGCAGCGACTTTGCGAAGTCTTCGTCATTTTTATCTCTTGCCGTTCTTCTTCTAACAACACCACATAATCTTTTTTTGTTTTGGCATAGCGGAAACGCTAAGAAGCGTCGTCAAAAGAGTTGGCAATGACGCGTTAACGTCACATCTTTTAGCTTTATTTAAAAAAATTAACAATAGTCTGAGAAGTTTCGTCTGTTCCAATTAATTGCGTTATTTTCATTACCGTTCATTTTACTTTTATTTTCTTAAGTGACTTAAGTTACCATATTAAAGTATTCTCTTAAATCAGCTATGTGAAATAATGAAGTAAGAAAAAATAAAACTCACCGCACATAATAATATCGTTCTTGGCGTATTTATATTCTTTGACTAGATTCGGATTAAGGAATGTTGATATCACCGCTGGGTCCAGTGACTGCCATCTCACGTTCTTAGTCAGGGAGATTCTTTCGTGCTTATTCTGAGCTTTAATTATTTTAGTGTCAATAGCACCCAAAACATTGCTTCTCCAACTCTAAATGTGTACACAGTTAAATTAGACATTAGTTTCGTGTTTGTTAACCTGATTTTCTTATTCATTTCCCGCGCATTAATTGAATTTGAATAGTAGTTGGTTTTTATAAGTTCCTATGACTTTGAAGTCTATGAACCTAGTGGAACTGGTGGTAACACCTCTTGTCAGTCCGCGCGGGTAGGTACCACCACCCTGCCCATTTCTGCCGTGAAGCAGTAATGCGTTTCGGCTTGAAGGGTGGGGCAGCCGTTGTAACTATACTGAGACCTTAGAACTTATATCTCAAGGTGGGTGGCACATTTACGTCGTAGATGTCTATGGGCTCCAGTAACCACTTAACACCAGTGGGCTGTGAGCTCGTCTAACCCATCTAAGCAATAAAAAAATAGAATAAAATTTAGGGGTATCTACTTTGAGATCGCACTGATTATGTTCAATCCCTAGCTCATCCTCTCACCGAAGCTTATGAACTTACCGCACTGAAGTTGCAATAGAGCCTTGCTTGTGAAAATGGTAAAATTGTCACTTTTTCTGGGTCAGCCTTCTGCATCACCACATGATAGGCCTCTACGTCCATCAAGGCGTTGAATTCGGGCTTTGGGTCTTCTTTGCCTGTTGCAAAAAGCATTGAAAGCTCCGCGTTCACGTCAGAAAAGCTTTTTGTGTCTGTTTCTTTATTATGTTTTAAAACCTTCGTTAGTCAAAGTGTCAAAGTTTTCTATGATGCATTTAGAGAGCTAAATGGACTTTCATGATATTATTACTAGCTGACTCGACAATTTTTTTTATGCCATATACATTATTTCTAGGATTTTTTTTTGGGTGGACCACCCTTAACATTGGTATGAAAGGGGTATACAAGGGGTATGAAAAATAGATGTTGACCGATTCTCAGGCCCACATGCACACAAAAATTCATAAGAATCGGTTGAGCAATTTCGGAGGAACTTTGCAACTAACACCGCGATACGAGAATTTTATATATTCGATTTAATTCTTTGTCGATGTTTGTTAGTCATATTAACAGATCGATCGAATTTATATAAAAATGTCGGTAACAGCGAATCGCTCCATTCGATAAACAATTCCGAACAAAATACAGTCCGCAACTCAACATTAACAAAAGTAACAGCCCACTGAGTTTCTCGCCGGATCTTCTCGGTGGGTCGCGTTTCCGATCCGGTGGTAGATTCTGCGAAGCACTGCTTTTGCTAGGGCCAGTGTTAGCAACACACCTAGTCTGAGCCCCGTGAGCTCACCTACACGTCAAGGAGAAGCTGATATAGCCTCTCAAGGCTATCAGCATAGGTAGGATAAATAAAAAAATTAAAAACAAAAGTAGACTACTCACTATACAAATGTCCCGCTCCTATATACAAATGCGAAAGGCGGTCCAAAAATTTCGGGTCGTACTTCATTGCCACGGCAATGTTCGTCAATGTTCCAATGGTTACAACGGAAAGGGATCCTGCCAAACGAGAAAATTATTACATTTTCGAGTTTAGTTATTGCCTGTCTGCGGTTAACGCAGATGCGCGATCCATAAGGCCTGCGGAACATTTCTAAGTCTACAACATCAAATTTATCTTATATTTGTTGTGTTAATAGGCACACAGTTCACCTGACGGTGCCGTCTTCTGGTCACTTTTCAAGCAACCAAGAACCAAGCTCCGACACATACACACACGTTCACAGAGACGTCACATGGGCATTTCCACAACCGACAGCAGCACTTCTTTTTCCGTTTTTTTTTCCTACCTATGCTGATAGCCTTCAGAGTCTATTTCAGCTTCGCCCTAACGTGTGTACGTGAGCTCAGGGGGCTCAAATTGCTAACACTGACCTTAGCAAGAGCAGTGCTTCGCAGAATCTACCACCGGATCGGAAACTCGACCCACTGAGAAGATCCGGCGAGAAACTCAGTGGGCTGCGTCTGTGGGTTAATTCGCTCGTCGACCCCTTTGTCGCAAGCGACGGCTTCGACGAGGACGGTGACCGGTGCTTGTGGTGCCTAAAAGCACCGTTAATGGATCAGGAGGATCCGTAATGACGTGCTAGCAGTACTTACGCTAAACAGCGTCATCTACTTCATTTTGCAATAAAAATACGATCATCAGCTGATCATTCATAGTAGGTATCAGAGACATAAGCCAGTATTGCCGCGACGTATCTTACTGAAATGCACGCTGTAGCTTCGAAATCACACTTTCAAGCTTACAAGTTCTTCCGTAGGCGCTAATTTTAAATAGAGCATATCTGCTAATTTTAATCTCATTCTATCAACTCCCGTTTTCCTTCATTTTGATTCCTTTTTTTAGGGACACAGGCAGGAGAGCAGTACCAAACGGCTACTGCTAAGAAAATAACTAAATAATTGAAACATACGAAACAATGTTTTTTTCTGTCTCAAAACTTACAGGAAAAATCTGTCGCGGATCATTTCCCAATTAAATATAAATTAATATTAAGCAATCAATCAAATGTAATCAAATCTTAGTTATAAAGTTATATAATTTTATTTTTGTTGTTAATGCACTGTCGATTGCACTTGTAATTGAGGTTGACATCTGCCATGAACATTTGTCAATTTCGATGCCTCCAATGAACACTACGCTAACTCCAAATTCGTAGATTTGCAGGAGGAGCGTTGAAACGAAAAAAGTTCATAAAATCTTTATTATTGCAGATATATTTATGGTCTTTTTGTGTAACTAACTGATTTACTCTTGCTCCGAACCCCATCAATAATGATTAATTATAATACTTTTAACATAGTGAAGCGATTTGCGTGAAAAACGAAAATTTCAAAATTTTGAGTTAGTGTAGTGTTCATTGGAGGCATCGATTTGCGAATGTTTTGTACTGATGATTACTTTGTTGGTGATGAATTAAATGATAAAATGTACCTTCGTATTTCTTAGAATTTTCAATAAGAGCAAACGCAGCGCTTTCTTCCGCAGGCGGGAATAGATCCGTATAACTATCGTTGTTATCCCCTAATCCATCTAGGCCGTAGTACCAGACATTTTCAACGGGACTGACCAAAGCCTCCGAAGAGCCACGGTAGATCGGTATCTATCGAATGTAAAAACTACTTTTAAATATTAATGCCTATTAGACGTGCTCAGACATCTAATGGATAAACACATTTTATGAGTATTACCACATAAAGAAAAGATGTACATATTTATAATCGAATAAATCCATTTATTTGTGGTAAAAAAATTGAGAGATTTTCAAAAGTCTTTATGCAGAAATTTTAATAAGAATAATTTTACTGAATACATTAGCTTACGCTGCAGCACATATGACTACATAGTATAAAACAAAGTCGCTTTCTCTGTCCCTATATCTGTCTGTCACTATGTATGCTTAAATCTTTAAAACTACGCAACGGATTTTGGTGAGGTTTTTTTTAATAGATAGAGTGATTGAAGAGATAGTTTATATGTATAATAACATCCATTAAATAGTACAGAAATTAATAATAAATTACAGTTTCCGAAGCGAAGCGAGGGCGGGTCGCTAGTGTATTAATAAATATGCAAGGTTTAACTTACATCTTGTCTTCCAGCTAATTTGAGTATCTGCTGATTATTAATTGTAACTTGCTCCTCGTCTGTGTTCCCGTGGCCCGTTGTCAGAGCGATCAGTTCTGGACTGAAATCAAAAAAGTCAAAAATATATTTGAAATTTTACTAGTGGAAGGGTATTTTGTAAATCCGCACGGATAGAAAAAGCCGTCGTAGCCTAAAGGATAAGACGTCCGGTGCATTCGTCCACCCATATAAGCAATAAAAAGAAGGTACCATCACCCTGCCAATGACGTGAAGTATTAATGCGTTTCATTTTAAAGGATGGGACAGCCGTTGTACTGTAAAAACTGAGACCTTAGAACTCATTTTATTTTTTTATGATTGAAGGATTATGATTGAAGGATTAGGTGGGATTTGCTTACAACTGCCCGAGCGCCTCCGAAGGAGACCTAACAACTAAAGAGCAATTGCTTCGCGAATGAATCTACTACCGGATCGGAATCGCGACCCGCTGAGAAGATCCGGCGAGAAACTCAGCGAGTTGATGCATGGGTTAGGTTGCACATCGACCTCTTTGTCGAGTTCGACGAGTACGGTTACCGGAGTCCCTAAGCCTGCTCCTAGTGTTAGAGCTGAAGACGTCTAATGCAAAATTATTGAATCTGATGGATCCGTAAGAACGTGTAAGAACTCATGTCTTAAGGTGGGTGGCGGCATTCACGTTGTTGATGTTTATGGGCTCCGGTGACCACTTAACACCTGGCGGGCCATGAGCTCATCCGCTTGTCTAGTAATCGAAGTTTCGTCATAATACATTCAGCCATTTTATGTTATGCGTAAGAAACATTGAAAAATACCAACACCCGCATTTTTAATAAAAAAATTATATAGATCTAACGAAATTAGCATTTTATTAATATATGTTATAGTTATAATTAATCAGATTTACATAATTCATATTTATTTCTTAAATTAACGTTCACATAGATAATAATAACTAACTGGGAGCAACAAACATTACATAACAATGATAATATTAAGGTCAACGATAAGTTTTCTTTGATATAGTAGCGCGTCATGATAACCTTCTTATCGTGGCCGCCTCTAACTACATACCCGACCCAAGCGACGGGGCAACGTAAAGCCATCGTCACCGAAGATGTGTCTGGATCCACGCTCAGTGGTTTTAGATCACCAAGCACGGGTCACCATCGTCGGACTCATCAAGTACGTTGAAGAGTTCGACCTGCAACCCCACCCATAGACGCAATAGCCTATGAGTTTCCCGCCGAATCTTCTCAGTGGCTCGCGATTCCAATCGGATGGTAGATGCAGCGAGGCACTGTTCTTCTAGGGCAGTGGCGTAATGATCTAAATTCGCGCTTTTTTTATGATTGACGGATTACTGGTAGCCCGGAGGCCTTTCCAGTTTCACCAGGACAGGTGAGCGAACAAAGGTTCAGCCAGGAGGGGTGGGATTTGCATACAGTTACTCGAGCGCCTCCGAAGCTCATCTGAAGGAGAACTAACAACTCAAGAGCAGCTGCTTTGCAAATGAATCTACTACCGGATTAGAATCGCGACCCGCTGAGAAGATCCGGCGAGAGGTCTGGGGCACAATACCTTTATATAGTGCTCCCCCCTTTTTTTCCTTTTTATTTACGAATTAAAATTTATCATATTACACTGGCTTTAAATTTAAAATATATTTTAAAAATAAAATTATCCATAATTTTTTTTATATTGGGGACCACTTGGTGCCCCTTTGTGAGTAGAGCGGGGCATGATGTCCCCCCTCGCTACGCCGCTGTGCTGCCCCCCCCTGAGCTCACCTACCAGTCTGAGATTACCTGGAATAGCCCCTTAGGCTACCAGCGAGTAGGTAGGATAAAAAAAACGCTAAGTAGTTTTGCGTCATATTAATTTACTTTTTTTTTTATTTCACTTTATATAATTAGAAAAATATGTGGCGCATGTAAGGCGTTTGGATATTATATTCCATGTCTTAATCGGCCCTGGAGTAATAAACTACTTCATTTATATTATCAGGATTCTATAGATTAGTTATTATTTATGTTTGTTACATGATCTTCCCGATTGTTTATATTTTTAGGCAAGATAAAAAAACTTAAGACGAAGTTCTCATCAATAAATCTATCATAGAATTTTCAATTAATAATTTGTGAGGGCTCATTAAAGAGTTGTGTGACAAAATGGCACTGATCAGATGACCTTTGCGTCATAAATTTCCAAATAAGATATGCAGCTTAAAAACAACAAAAAAACGATTCAATAGCAAACAGAACTGATAATTAATTTAATATTTTTTATTCGGTTGATACTGGTCAGAATATTACAGCGAAGTTATAAAGATTTTGAATTGTTATAGGTCTCTGATGCGTATTTTCAAGTTAAAGTCGATGAAAGTGACGTCCAAACATTCAGTTGGATACAAACAATTATATATTATGTACATACCAAGCTAATAAAAGAGTGTTAAAAAGAACACGGTAAGCAGCGGCTTAGCTCTGCCCCTGGCATTGCTGAAGTCCATGGGCGACTGTAACCACTCACCATCAGGTAGGCCATATGCTCGTCTGCCTACAAGGGCAATAAAAAATAAAAAAGTACCATATGATTGGACAAATGCTTACCCATCGAAATACTTCTCACTCAGGATTGCAATGAATATCGCCATGGCATCGTCACCGCCCGCATCGTTGTCTATAATATATTTCGATCTGTTCGTAGTTGCGCTTAAAAAAAAACAAAAAAAAGTAATAAAATCGTACAACACAAAATGAACGCCGCATATTATATTTATATTTTCGCAATTTATTTAATTTGACACCTTCATCCGTTGAGTGAAGCGCACATAAGTACCAAGCAAATGGGCAGACATCGAAGTGTTTGATCCCATAAATTTTCCGCTTTTCATCTCGAGGACCGAAATTCGAAAAAAAAAAAACTTAAAAACAAAATTTCAAAAACTATAGTGCGAGGGAGCGTGATGTTAAACAATTCCGCAGATACAAGAAAAAAAAAACAAATACAGACAAGAAATAGATAAATTATTTTAACTCTTTTGTTTAGTATATAAATTTAAATGAATCGTAATTAGAGAATTACGTATCATATTTCCATAATAATAATTTTGTTTCCGTTTGAAAACATTATCTCTAACGTGTTAAATTAATAAAAATATAACATATTTTTTTTAACTAACTATCTAATAATATATGGATGGATGTAATTCAGGAAACTTTAAGCGTCCGTTGTTTAACGGTCTAGAATAAAATCTTTTTTTTCCTTCATGCCGATACCCTTGAGAGGCTATTTCAGCTTCTCCTTGACGCGTAGGTGAGCTCACGGGGCTCAAACCGGGATTCTTGCTAACATTGGCCCTAGCAAGAGCAGTGCTTCGCAGAACCTACCACCGGATCGGAAACGCGACCCACTGAGAAGATCCGGCGAGAAACTCAGTGAGCAAAAATCTTACGGTAAAGATATCAAATTATATACCTGCGTAAATCTCACCTAATGCGTCTTCATGAACGACTTCCTAATTAAAGGATACTCTGCTACAGAAATGAAACCCGCAGAATTGTTTTAATTTGCTTAAATATTTGTTGTAAAGTGGTCAAGAACGGACAATGCGCAACACTTAAAAATTTAATCACATCTGTTGTTTTTTGAATGCTGACACTCAAGTATAAGTTCCACGTGATGGTAACTGTCGCAAATGGACGTCAGCACTAATAGAAACACCGTTACGCATATTGCCTGCCGCCTAGGACTTCTTTCTACTCTTCTTCTCGTTTTAAAAAGAAGAAGTCACAGTACTCAGGCAATACTGGGGAGGAGAGTTTATTCTAGAACCAGCATGAGAATGGCAAGAATGTACTTTGAGAACGTACTAAGGATGAGTGCGGTAAAAATGAACTATACATCGATTGCGCACTGAAAGATGGCAAAACGAAGACGACAGAATCTTCTCAAGCAATTCCTCGCAAATCTCCTCGTGGAATATGCCTTATATACATAATGAGAATCGGATTTTCATACAATCCAAAAGGCCTTCTTTTATCGCAATTTTATAGCGCTCGATTAAATTTTAATGATCACTTTTATTGGTTTCAGAGTCTTCGCCTCGAAGGATCCGTCCGTCAGGCGTACTTGGGTTGAGCCGCTTATCTGTTAGTACCCTGTCTCCTCCCGGTGATGGTCAAGGGGCGACCTGCGGGGGTCGAGGCTGCACGGCACGCTCCCACCATCTGCGGATCGTCGAGTCCCACACACACCGCGCGTTCCGTAAGCGTAAGGACCTCGCGGGAAGTTCGGACACCAGCCCAGAAAAAAGTATACCAGTTTCATGATTAAGTCTTACTAAATAATACGTACCTAACGCAACAGCAGATCGATAAACAAAAGACGATCCGAAAATAATTGTGCATGGTACACGTCTGCTCGACAACAGGGATTTTGAGAAACTAATTAAATTTAAATTATAATTAATTTTTCATGGCACAATAACACGATCGGTCGATTTAAATTTATTGCTTTTTTTATTATAAAGTCGTTAATGATCAGTTGCGATATGATGCATTAATAGCGGCTATAGTTAAACGTAGCATCCTAGACTCGATAGAAAATACCAGATACGAGGCCGTCGTGGCTTAACGGATAAGACGTCCGGTGCATTCGTGTTGAACGATGCAACGGTGTTCGAATCTCAGGCGGGTACCAACTTTTCTAATGAAATACGTACTCAACAAATGTTCACGATTGACTTCCACGGTGAAGGAATAGCATCGTGTAATAAAAATTAAACCCGCAAAATTATAATTTGCGTAATTACTGGTGGTAGGACCTCTTGTGAGTCCGCACTTTTATTGTATATGCGTTCAAAACAGTACGTGTGAGTTTATTAAAACAACAAAAGAACGTTCCGTCTTAACCGGCCTCAAAATACGAATGTTTCCTATACCGACCGTATACGCAAAAAGATACCATTAAACTGGTGGTAGGACCCCTTGTGAGTCCGCACGGGTAGGTAACACCACCCCGCCTATTTCTGTCGTGAAGCACTAATGCGTTTCGGTTCGAAGGGGGGGGGGGGATAGCCGTTGTAACTATACTGAGACCTTAGAACTTATATCTCAAGGTGGGTGGCGCATTTACGTTATGGATGTCTATGGGCTCCAGTAACCACTTAACACCAGGTGGGCTGTGAGCTCGTCCACCCAACTAAGCTTTAAAAAAAAAAGTTTAAAAATAAACATAAAAACGCTTTAAAAGAAAATCTAAATAAATAGTTATAATTATCCTGTGTATATCAGGTTCTTAATACGTACGCAAATTTATAATTAATCGAACGCCTTGAAGTTTGTGAAAATTATTTTGAAAGATTTCGTTATGTTGATAGTCAGATACTGTTCGAAGCATAGCAACCCTATTTTCTTCACCGCGGCGGAAGCGAGGGAGAGGCGCCTAGGCGTGGACTTGCAAAATAAAACGACATGTACCGTAAAATGGGGTAAATAGGGACAAAATCGAAGTTCAGATTGAATTTTAACATAGTTCCAATTAAATAGTCACTGCTCAACCAAAGAAATAAGTTGAGTCTTGAACGTACCTAGGTGATAAAAACCGTTACATAATTTTAATTATTCATTTTAAAGAAATAATCGGTAAAATAATGGCCGTCCCAATTTACCCAGCGTCCGGGGTAAATTGACACGGTTAAGGGTTAAATTGGGATANAAAACTGCAGTCACCCAAGAAAACGTTGATGCTGTGCGTAAGCTGATTGAGGAAGATCGACATGTGACATACCGCGAAATTCAGGCAACTTTAGACATTGGCATGAGTCAAATACAAATAATCTTGCATGAACAATTAGGTGTAAAAAAGTTGTTTTCCCGATGGTTTTTTTTTTATTGCTTAGATGGATGGACGAGCTCACAGCCCACCTGATGTTAAGTGGTTACTGGAGCCCATAGACATCTACAACGTAAATGCGCCACCCACCTCGAGATATAAGGTCTAGTTATAAGTTCTAAGGTCTCAGTATAGTTACAACGGCTACCCCACCCTTCAAACCGAAACGCATTGTACCGCATTCGCTCTGTGAAGAGCAAAAAGCGGCTCGCGTTACTTGGTGCGTCAGAACTCTCGAAAGATTCCACGCAGGATCCTCAAATGCTGTATACAACATTGTATCAGGTGACGAATCCTGGATATACGCGTACGAACCCGAAACAAAAAACAAGTCACGAGTTTGGGTGTTCGAAAATGAGTTAAAGCCAACAAAAATTGTTCGTTCACGGAGTGTTGCAAAAAAAATNAAAAGCGGCTCGCGTTACTTGGTGCGTCAGAACTCTCGAAAGATTCCACGCAGGATCCTCAAATGCTGTATACAACATTGTATCAGGTGACGAATCCTGGATATACGCGTACGAACCCGAAACAAAAAACAAGTCACGAGTTTGGGTGTTCGAAAATGAGTTAAAGCCAACAAAAATTGTTCGTTCACGGAGTGTTGCAAAAAAAATAGTGGCCACGTTTGTCTCCAAAACCGGCCATGTTACGACTATTCCTCTTGAGGGACAAAGAACGGTTAATGCAAAATGGTATGCTAGCATTTGTTTGCCACAGGTTGTTTCTGAACTCCGTAAAGAGAACTGCAACCGCCGCATCATCCTCCATCACGACAATGCGAGTTCTCACACCGCGCACAGAACAAAAGAGTTTTTAGAGCAAGAAAACATAGAATTATTAGACCATCCGCCGTACAGCCCCGACCTAAGCCCTAATGATTTCTATACTTTCCCTAAAATTAAGAATAAATTGCGTGGACAGAGATTTTCATCACCTGAAGAAGCTGTGGACGCCATCGGCTACAAAACGGCCATTTTGGAGATCCCAACTTCCGAATGGAATAGTTGCTTCAATGATTGGTTCCATCGTATGGAAAAATGTGTCAAATTTCGCGGGGAATACTTCGGAAAGCAATAAATACATTTTTAAATAGTAATGTTGTGTCACTTCGTTAATTCCCGAAATTTTCAGTGCCGCCCTCGTATCAACGAAAAAAACGCATAATCCAGCTTTAAATTCATTCCACTTTTATTCGGATAACCGGACATCTCGTCGCTATTTTTTGTATTGCCGTTCTAAGCAGCCGAGCATACGGCCCACCTGATGGTGAGTGGTTACCGTCGCCCATGGACTTCAGCAATGCCAGGGGCAGAGCCAAGCCGCCTTTAATTGCGAAGATAAATGTCGCGTGTTAAGCGACATTTCGCTTAAACCACGGAATAGATCTATTCCGTGGCTTAAACCAAATAGCCTGTTTTCCTAACCATTATAGTAACCTCGAGGGGTTATTATATTCGGGGTTATTCACCGAACTAGTAGGTGAGCTCACGGGGCTCAAACCGGGAGTGTTGCTAACACTGGCCCTAACAAGAGCAGTGCTTCGCAGAATCTACCACCGGATCGGAAACGCGACCCACTGAGCAGATCCGGCGAGAAACTCAGTGGGCTAGGTTTATGGGTTAATTTACTCGTCGAGCCCTTCGTCGTAAGCGACGGGTTCGGAGAGGATGGTGACTGGTGCTTGAGGTACCTAAAAGCACCGTAAATGGATCGGGAGGATCCGTAATTACGTGTTTACCGTTGTTGTCGGTCGACGTCGACTGTTTACCATTCGGTCCACAGGATCGGGTATGAAACCCCTCGATATACACCTACGCTATCAAAATCTATTCACATGTACCTTTGTTTATACTAGCCGATTTGTCGTTTTCAATGATAGATGATTGTGATTATTTTTGTTGTTTTTTTTTTGTAGTCGTGACGTCGTTGGTTGTCAGCCTACAGGTTGGGGACGGATAATATGGCATAATGTCCTTTTGCTCAACAGCCCGCGTCCAAGCTTAAGACGCGACAGAACTCATCCAAGATAGTTTGGGGGAAAGATGACCGGTTTCGAGAGAAGCCCAAGTCTCCCCGCCATGAGGGATCATTTAGTAAAATTCCTTTAATTAAATTATCAGCCAAAAAAAAGACATTATTCATTATAGTAATATTTAATTGAACACGAAAATGATATATTTGGTTTTAATCAGTATTACAATTAAGGTATCCTTCTAGACGTTTCTATCTTCGGGCTTAAGTCGGTATTCCTTGTATTATCGTTAGGTGAATTCTCAGGCATCGTTCGAGAAGAGATCCAGTAAAAACTGTCGATACTCTTCAGTCTTGACAGAGTAAGCGATGCGAACATTGGCGTCTTCTTTATCGACAAACGAATTACTTGTGATTCCCCTGTTTTCTCCTGTAATAAAAATAGTTATTGTATGTAGGACATTAAGAGCTCTCGGTGAAAATCAATCTTTTTGCGAGAACGTGACAAAAAATATATTGTAAACCTTAAAAAATATAAATATGTCGGAGAAGTCACTGTTACTAACACATCGTCAGACATCGTAGGGGCGAATAGGGTGATCGAGCCAAAAGAAATATTGAGTACCTACACCAATCACGTCTGTTGTCTTAGAACAATTATTTAGAAATCTTCTCTTGATGTTAGCAAACGAAAACGAATGACAGTTCTTAGAACGGAGGCGCCGCTCTTCAAGAAGGCTGGTTGGTAAGTGTGATGGCGTCTACGCGCCTCCATCGGCTAGACTCTGTCGTAGCAGGAAGTTACCCGAGTTCCGAGGATACCGCCATCGTGCTGCCACCTTTTTTTTATTGCTTAGATGGGTGGATGAGCTCACAGCCCACTTGGTGTTAAGTGGTCATTGGAGCCTATAGACATCTACAACGTAAATGCGCCACCCACCTTGAGATATAAGTTCTAAGGTCTCAAGTATAGTTACAACGGCTGTCCCACCCTTCAAACCGAAACGCATTACTGCTTCACGCAGAAATAGGCGGGGTGGTGGTACCTACCCGTGCGGACTCACAAGAGGTCCTACCACCAGTGATTACGCAAATTATAATCACCTCTCGGGAATCGTCCTGCGTTTCGTTTAGCTACCAAACTAATGACCGCCTCCGACATATATATGATTTTTATGTGTTCAGAATTCGGTATAATATGTAATATGGAATTGCCTATCATAAAGGGGATTGCCCACTCTCCATAGTGTGCTAGGCCCAAGGTGGACATTAAATATTACTATAAAAATGGACTGATTCAAATTCTTAAATGTATTAGATATCTAAAAAATATATTGAAATTGACGCCACTATTATAAAAAATATAATAAAAATAAAAACTCGTTTTGAGGTTAATTTTCTATATAAATAAGTGTCGGATTGTGAGATACTTCAAGAACTTTTCTTTTCTTAATGTTTAAGATGTTCCTAATGTATTTTTATCCAATAGGGTATAAAAACACACTTAATTCTTTAAATATCTATATTTTCTTCATCTTCATACACAATT